TTTGTCCTATTCTCCGTATCATTGTCTTTCCTTTTCCTTTTCGAGCTGGGTATGTAAACATAGAAAGAAAAAATGGGAACTCTGAACTGGCTCTGATGTGAGACGTTATTCTTTTGAACTGTATCTTGGAAGCCTCGTCCTTAAGTTTTCGGCATGCACACCTTGACACCGACACCCACCCACACGCACGCGCGCACGCACACACACACACACACATTGTAACTCAATTTTACAATTTCTGTGTGTCTCCATGTGTGTGTGTGTGTGTGTCTCCATGTGTGTGTGTGTGTTTCTGCATGTGTGTCTGTGTATTGGTGTGTGTTGCATATTCACACTGTGCAGATCTATAAAAGTGAGACGGGATTCGACATACGCACCTGTCCTGTCGGTCTCTGGGGTCAGGCTCTTTACTTCTTCGAGCAGGCATCAGATTGTGACAGTTGCAAGTACAGCAGCTCTGCTACTTCACAAATATTTCTTGTCAAGGTACAGTGTGTACACAGCCGTGGTGATACTGAGTGTGCAGCACAGCCTAATGCTGTATCATGTTTGAAGTACTGGTCAACCAGATATACCCCACACTGTATCATGTTTGAAGTACTGGTCAACCAGATATACCTCACACTGTATTGTGTTTGAAGTACTGGTCAACCAGATATACCCCACACTGTATTGTGTTTGAAGTACTGGTCAACCAGCCATACCTCACACTGTATTGTGTTTGAAGTACTGGTCAACCAGATATACCCCTCACTGTATTGTGTTTGAAGTACTGGTCAACCAGCCATACCTCACACTGTATTGTGTTTGAAGTACTGGTCAACCAGATATACCTCACACTGTATTGTGTTTGAAGTACTGGTCAACCAGCCATACCTCACACTGTATTGTGTTTGAAGTACTGGTCAACCAGATATACCCCTCACTGTATTGTGTTTGAAGTACTGGTCAACCAGATATACCTCACACTGTATTGTGTTTGAAGTACTGGTCAACCAGATATACCCCACACTGTATTGTGTTTGAAGTACTGGTCAACCAGATATACCCCACACTGTATTGTGTTTGAAGTACTGGTCAACCAGATATACCCCACACTGTATTGTATTTGAAGTACTGGTCAACCAGATATACCTCACACTGTATTGTGTTTGAAGTACTGGTCAACCAGATATACCTCACACTGTATTGTGTTTGAAGTACTGGTCAACCAGATATACCCCACACTGTATTGTGTTTGAAGTACTGGTCAACCAGATATACCCCACACTGTATTGTGTTTGAAGTACTGGTCAACCAGATATACCCCACACTGTATTGTGTTTGAAGTACTGGTCAACCAGATATACCCCACACTGTATTGTGTTTGAAGTACTGGTCAACCAGATATACCCCACACTGTATTGTGTTTGAAGTACTGGTCAACCAGATATACCCCACACTGTATTGTATTTGAAGTACTGGTCAACCAGCTATACCTCACACTGTATTGTGTTTGAAGTACTGGTCAACCAGATATACCCCACACTGTATTGTGTTTGAAGTACTGGTCAACCAGCTATACCTCACACTGTATTGTGTTTGAAGTACTGGTCAACCAGATATACCTCACACTGTATTGTGTTTGAAGTACTGGTCAACCAGATATACCCCACACTGTATTGTGTTTGAAGTACTGGTCAACCAGATATACCTCACACTGTATTGTGTTTGAAGTACTGGTCAACCAGATATACCCCACACTGTATTGTGTTTGAAGTACTGGTCAACCAGATATACCCCACACTGTATTGTGTTTGAAGTACTGGTCAACCAGATATACCTCACACTGTATTGTGTTTGAAGTACTGGTCAACCAGATATACCCCACACTGTATTGTATTTGAAGTACTGGTCAACCAGATATACCTCACACTGTATTGTGTTTGAAGTACTGGTCAACCAGATATACCCCACACTGTATTGTATTTGAAGTACTGGTCAACCAGATATACCTCACACTGTATTGTGTTTGAAGTACTGGTCAACCAGATATACCCCACACTGTATTGTGTTTGAAGTACTGGTCAACCAGCTATACCTCACACTGTATTGTGTTTGAAGTACTGGTCAACCAGATATACCCCACACTGTATTGTGTTTGAAGTACTGGTCAACCAGATATACCTCACACTGTATTGTGTTTGAAGTACTGGTCAACCAGATATACCTCACACTGTATTGTGTTTGAAGTACTGGTCAACCAGATATACCTCACACTGTATTGTGTTTGAAGTACTGGTCAACCAGATATACCCCACACTGTATTGTGTTTGAAGTACTGGTCAACCAGATATACCCCACACTGTATTGTGTTTGAAGTACTGGTCAACCAGATATACCTCACACTGTATTGTGTTTGAAGTACTGGTCAACCAGATATACCCCACACTGTATTGTGTTTGAAGTACTGGTCAACCAGATATACCTCACACTGTATTGTGTTTGAAGTACTGGTCAACCAGATATACCCCACACTGTATTGTGTTTGAAGTACTGGTCAACCAGATATACCTCACACTGTATTGTGTTTGAAGTACTGGTCAACCAGATATACCCCACACTGTATTGTGTTTGAAGTACTGGTCAACCAGATATACCTCACACTGTATTGTGTTTGAAGTACTGGTCAACCAGATATACCCCACACTGTATTGTATTTGAAGTACTGGTCAACCAGCTATACCTCACACTGTATTGTGTTTGAAGTACTGGTCAACCAGATATACCCCACACTGTATTGTGTTTGAAGTACTGGTCAACCAGATATACCCACACTGTATTGTATTTGAAGTACTGGTCAACCAGCTATACCTCACACTGTATTGTGTTTGAAGTACTGGTCAACCAGATATACCCCACACTGTATTGTGTTTGAAGTACTGGTCAACCAGATATACCTCACACTGTATTGTGTTTGAAGTACTGGTCAACCAGATATACCTCACACTGTATTGTGTTTGAAGTACTGGTCAACCAGATATACCTCACACTGTATTGTGTTTGAAGTACTGGTCAACCAGATATACCCCACACTGTATTGTGTTTGAAGTACTGGTCAACCAGATATACCCCACACTGTATTGTGTTTGAAGTACTGGTCAACCAGATATACCCCACACTGTATTGTGTTTGAAGTACTGGTCAACCAGATATACCCCACACTGTATTGTGTTTGAAGTACTGGTCAACCAGATATACCCACACTGTATTGTGTTTGAAGTACTGGTCAACCAGATATACCCCACACTGTATTGTGTTTGAAGTACTGGTCAACCAGATATACCTCACACTGTATTGTGTTTGAAGTACTGGTCAACCAGATATACCCACACTGTATTGTGTTTGAAGTACTGGTCAACCAGATATACCCCACACTGTATTGTGTTTGAAGTACTGGTCAACCAGATATACCCCACACTGTATTGTGTTTGAAGTACTGGTCAACCAGATATACCTCACACTGTATTGTGTTTGAAGTACTGGTCAACCAGATATACCCCACACTGTATTGTGTTTGAAGTACTGGTCAACCAGATATACCCCACACTGTATTGTGTTTGAAGTACTGGTCAACCAGATATACCTCACACTGTATTGTGTTTGAAGTACTGGTCAACCAGATATACCCCACACTGTATTGTGTTTGAAGTACTGGTCAACCAGATATACCCTCACACTGTATTGTGTTTGAAGTACTGGTCAACCAGATATACCTCACACTGTATTGTGTTTGAAGTACTGGTCAACCAGATATACCCTCACACTGTATTGTGTTTGAAGTACTGGTCAACCAGATATACCCACACTGTATTGTGTTTGAAGTACTGGTCAACCAGATATACCTCACACTGTATTGTGTTTGAAGTACTGGTCAACCAGATATACCTCACACTGTATTGTGTTTGAAGTACTGGTCAACCAGATATACCCCACACTGTATTGTGTTTGAAGTACTGGTCAACCAGATATACCCCACACTGTATTGTGTTTGAAGTACTGGTCAACCAGATATACCCACACTGTATTGTGTTTGAAGTACTGGTCAACCAGATATACCCCACACTGTATTGTGTTTGAAGTACTGGTCAACCAGATATACCCCACACTGTATTGTGTTTGAAGTACTGGTCAACCAGATATACCCCACACTGTATTGTGTTTGAAGTACTGGTCAACCAGATATACCTCACACTGTATTGTGTTTGAAGTACTGGTCAACCAGATATACCTCACACTGTATTGTGTTTGAAGTACTGGCTCAAACTACTTCACCCCCAAATGTATTGTGTTTTGAAGTCACTGGTCCACAAGATATACCCCACACTGTATTGTGTTTGAAGTACTGGTCAACCAGATATACCCCACACTGTATTGTGTTTGAAGTACTGGTCAACCAGATATACCCACACTGTATTGTGTTTGAAGTACTGGTCAACCAGATATACCTCACACTGTATTGTGTTTGAAGTACTGGTCAACAAAGATATACCCAACACTGTATTGTGTTTGAAGTACTGGTCAACCAGATATACCTCACACTGTATTGTGTTTGAAGTACTGGTCAACCAGCTATACCTCATGCACCCACCCACGTAGATCTGGGCTGTCCTGTTACTTTGGAACTGAATTGCCTGCTCTTTGCAAAACAAGCCCCAGGACGGATTTCGAGTCTTTTTTGTTAAGATGGTCAGTAGTGTTTGTGGTGTTGTACCAACCTTTCCCACAGTAATTCGTGACAATCTGTGTGACAAATGGAGTGAGAAATGGAGTGAGATATGGAGTGAGATATGAAGTGAGAATGGAGTGACAAATGACATCATCAAAGACCTGATGACCAATCAATGACCTCATGGGCATACCATAACAGATTAGCATGTTAATCTCTCATAGGCATTCTGAATATTTTATCATTTTTGCAAAGATCGTGTGGTGTGCTATCCTTGTCTTTGGAGCATGGACATGTATTTGTACTGTGTTTGAACATGTGTTTCCACTTAATGCAGACTCTGACGGGAGATTGCATAGCAATTCCGCCGGCCCCAAGCTGCGACTTCCGCCGGTCAAGAACCGATGCTCACTCCAGTATACTAGGTACGGAAAGGATTTGTTTGGG